CTGGTCTGACAGCTCACGGCACTCCTGAGCTAACTGACGGAGGACTCGTTCATCGTAGCTTTCCGCGTCCGTGGTGGGAGGGTCCAGGCTCGAACTTAGATCGCGCATCTGAATGGTAACTTCCTCCAGACTCTTGTTCTCCAACGTCATGCCGCTGGCAGAGTCGCGCATTTCCCTTGCAGAGCCGACAAGCTTTGCGCCGAGATCGACAAACTGAACGATATTGGCGATCAAGCCAATCGCTGTTAGGGCTTCCATGGTGGGCGATGCGCGAGATCCAGAATTCCATGTATTAGGGCGGAATGCGAGCTAGAACGGCATATCAGGGAACAAACCAGTGTCCAATTCCGGAACAAAAGGCTACAGCTCTGGTGAGCTGAGGGTACACTGCGGGTGTGAAAATTCGAAGATACTTGGAACAGGAACTGGAAGGCGCGCAAGACAACCCCTCATTGTACCACCCATGGCGAGACTGTGCCGCAATCATGCAGTTGTCCAATGTGAGCGCGTCGATCAGCGCTGCCGTCCAATCTATGCACGGTAATGCAGGCTGTGTGCGAGAAACCTGTATGGTGACGCATACGAAAAGTGAGCTGGAGTGGAGTGGACAGGGTAGAAAGTGAGTGGACAGCGAGTGCAGGCCGCATATAGAACGGGAAGGTACCACCCACTACCCTGCACCTTTGTCGAAGGAAACAGCCGGACACCCACTACGGCCCTGGAGACGATAAGAAGGGTAAGTAACCTAGATGTCTACGTTACCCTGAAATCTTCTTGGCCTTCGTTTCTGTGGGCAATGTAGTCTGTAGCGCACCTATTGAATCTTCCTGTGTGTAAGGTGCCGCGCGGGGTCGCAACATCACTGTGCTGTCTTTAGGGAAGAACATGAGGAAAAGTCCTCCTGGTTCGTTATGGCCGTTCCTTGCGCATGTACATGATCTACACGATCTACACGACTCCAGATGCCTCACCTATGGTATCTTCCTGAGCATGGTCTCCCCGTGTGCATTATCTCCTCCTGAGCACGATCAGGTAGCCGGCGGCGTAACCAGCCCATCGCACTCCTTCGCTTCCACCTGGGTATCATCCTCCTTCTCTATCCGTCTCGACTTCGCACCGATTGCACCGCCAGGGTGATTCGTCCTAAACACAGCCTTCGTCTCATCTTGATGTAGCGCCTCCGCGACAGTCAACGCCAACATATCGCCCACCGCAATGGTGACAGTGGTGCTGGTAGTCGGCGCGCAGACGCCAAATGAGACCTCCTCCAACTCATGTATGGGCGCAGGCAGCAATATGGAGTTAGGCCGGTCGTCGAGGAGCGGGCAGTCTGAGGGTTTCGTATGCGATGTGATGGCGAGGATGGGCGTGTGGGAGGGTATGTGCTCGAGGAGGGCCATGAGCTCTGCTGTCTTGCCGGAGTAGGAAATGAACATGATTGCGTCGTTCTACTTATATCAGTACAGCCCTTGACATCTAGGGTTTGGATATAACTCACCTTCCTGATGTCACCGAGATCCCCATGTAGTGCCTCAGCAGCATGCATGAAGGAACTCGCTATGCCCAGGCTCTTCATCGTCGCGACCATCTTGCGCCCCACCAGGCCGCTCTTGCCCACTCCGCATATTATGAGTTTACCACCAGTCTGGCTGGTCTTCGTAATGACTTCGACGGCCTGAAGGAGACCATCGCGCGCCACATGGTCGGACTCATAGAGAAAAGTGACCTGCGAGAGCGCGGTGGCAGCAGTCGAAAGAACGTGGACGGCGCGCGAGAGCAGACGCGATCCTTCAGAGTCGCTTGCGGCTAACGGCGGGGTAAGAGGTTGGGTATCAGAACCCGCTCGTTTTCTCTTCAGTGATGCTGGCGGGGACGATGTGCGTGATAGTGGAGAGGTCTCAAATGTCGCGGTCATGTTGGTGTGGAATGTGGAAGATCGGCGGACGTGACGTGAACGCAGGGTCAACTGCTGCTGTATATCAACAAGGCCCTGGCGATCTATGCGACAGGTCTACACATGCGCGATCTAGATTAGTCTTCCTCGGGCAGCATCGGAGGCGGATCCCAGTTTAGTAGGCGTAATACACTTATCGATGTAGCAGCGCGACGCGACACAACCACCAGACGGAGTTGCAACAAGCCCTGGAGGGCCTGGCAGCCCCTCCATGATGACAATTCGTCGCATGCCGGCTCGAAACAGGCTTCAGGCCTCGTCCGCTTACTCGGAACATACCAGGAGGCCGAGGGCGCGAGCCAGACCAGTAGTCTATGGTGATAAAGAAAAATGGATGGCGATATCTACGCTAGAGATGACATGCATGCAGCATGGGCCCGCGACTAGGCCGGAAGCAAAGATAGCCGTTGTCATCAGTCGAGACCAACCATCAAACCACGTTTCTGTCACTGTAGCGTCTGATCGCGAGGAATAGTCGTCCATGTTTAAGGTAGGGAACTGCATACGTGCGTAGACGGCAAACCGCTAGGTCCCGCTATGCTGAGGGCGGAGCGCCCGCTGCTTCGGTGAGTTTTGCCCGCCGAGCCCCCATACAAACCAGCCCCTCCTCCACCCCGTCAAGCTTTGTCATGCCCAATTCCTTCCTGTAGAGCGCTTGCGCTTGCTCGCCGCCGGTCAACAGGACCATCCACCGGAGGTTTTCCATTCCGGCGCAGATCTCGCGACAGCATGCGATGAGCCATTTGCCGAGTCCTTGGCCCTGTTGTTCGGGGACAAGGTAGACGTCTGTGAGGTAGGCGAGCGTTGTGTAGTCGGTAATGAAGCGCGCCATGCCAATAGGCTTCTTGACGCCATCCGAGACAGAGTATACACCGAGGGTGAGACTGTTGTCAAGCATGGTCGACAGGTCCGTGAAAGAGAGCGGTTTCGCCCAAAACATTGCGTCCGTCGCGTAGGCTTCCTGGACGAAGGTGTACGGAAGGAGCGACCGGTCGGAAGATATGAGGTAGGTGCCCGAAGCGAGAGTGCGCTCCCATTGGAAGATTTTTGAGTCCATCTTGTGCTTGAATTGATAATTCAGAGTGTGTGGTTGCAGATGTTGGCGAGCAGCTTCCCAATATACCTTCTGAGTCAACAGGTCCTACGTTCGGAGATATTCGCGACCCCTCGCGCCCTAGACGCCGACACCACCCAACCACCGTGCGACAACGCGACGACTTCACCTCCACCTTCCGCGCTGGACCTGGAACATGTGGCATGCGCAAATGGATGCCGCGATGCAGAAGTGAGGAGGTAGTCACCGCGACTGCCCTTTTCAAATGGCAGCACTTAGGTGAGGAAGGCGCATACATACGCGTACACCCTCGAGATTATGAGAACAAGTAGTTGATTGCACGCTACATATAGCATACGCCCGTTCAATCGCGCTTACCCAGTCACTTGCAGTAAGCTGCGAGGATGTTTACTCCCAGTCCCATTGTGACCACCTGCAGTCACGTGTCGATCACGCCCCTGTTCGTGGTCAGTAAAGCTCTTCAATACCAGCGGATCTACCCACAATCACGGCCTTCGCAATGCGCCATCAGCGTGTCTTTCCAAATTTCTCGGTCCAGAGTGGCGGGAGTGACGCGAAAGTCTTCATACCCATCCAGCGCCCCATACAACTCATAGCCAGCCTCGATCAGCTGCCGCATCAGAGGAAATAGCTCGCTCGCGCGTTCGGAGAGGAGACACATGGTGAATTCCTCGTCATACGTGTACTCACCTGGGCCATAAAGGTAATCTACTCGCAGGTGGAAAACGATCGATGCGCCAGGCGCGAGCTTGAATAGGCATTGTCGGAGTGGAGTGGCGTCGTCTTCGTCGAATTGTTCGCACAACTCGACCTCGACATGGCGCAGCAGACGATCGCCTTCCAGACCGAGACCCCAGATATCAGTCTCGAAGAACTCGGCGACCTCCGTAGGTGTGAGAAATAGCCACAATTTGGTATGATAATACCAGCGACGTGCAAACTCGCTCATAGTCTCCAAATCGACAAATTTCTCGCTACACATATGCGCGTATCCGTATCCGCGTTCCTCGGCATAACCCGCAATAATATCCCGGTATGGCTCGTCGACGTCTTCGAAGTATTCGTTGTTGATGAAAATCGGTTCATCTCGAGCAGGGGAGAGGATGTGGTCGTATATCATGTTCCGGAGCTCGAGGGGAAGCTTGTGTTGCACGGAGGCACACAATGCTCGACAGGACTGCTGGGCGTAGTGTTCGACATGAGCATCGGCGAAGTCTTCGTATTCTGACTGCGTACGATCCAGATTTGCGATTTGGGACGCCGTGAGTAGTGGACTGTTCTTGTCCAGAACATGGTCGATAAGTGCGCAATACCTGAGTGTGCTGGTTCTCATATTAGCACTAAACATCCACTTCATCAATGACCCAGGTGTCTACATTGCCTTCGGGATTATCGCAATTTTCATTTCCGTCCCCATGTATGCTGCAGCTCGCCTGTTCAGATTCTTGTATGAGGCTTTTGAGATGACTTACATGTACACGTTTTCACGAGTCAAATCGACTGTGTAAGCCATGTTGCTTTCGCCTTTTGGGGGCTTAGATGATGGGGTTGAAGTTCTGAGATATTTGGTTGGGTTGAATTGATCCACCGAAACAGAATCAGAACCAGACCGCAGTCTGAGTCATAGGCGCAGTCTATTCTTTCGGTCGGGTGGTGGCAATGGACAGTGAATCTTGTGATAGTAACGTGATAGTAATGAATGTAGTAAGAGCCTGGACAGAACCTTGGCATTCGATTCCGTCATCGTACAACTCGATCTGGAGAATACAAAGGTACTAGGGTGTACCTAAGAAACACGATAACCACGCCTGGAACGTCTCAGGGACTTTGGATCTTCTCCGCCGCATCCTTGCATCGCCATGTCATCTCCAACACAGGCTATTACCTGCACATTTTCCTCTTCCATCACCCTGTAGTCTATAATACAGACTCATAAAACTCGTCAGACGAATCATACGAATCACTGGCCGCTCATTCACGGCGGGCGCGTTTCGCAAGCATGACCTGGGACAAATTTAGCGAGTGTCTATCACCACACCATGTAACTTACTTTGTGATGATCCTCGAGTTTCTGCTTCCAACACTCCTCCGTCAGCTCCTCGCTCACAACCTTGAACTTCAAGTGGTAGCCCAGCTTCACCGTGACGCGGTATTCGGCTGTAACCAGCTTCTGGATGCCCGGGAATAGGAGTGCAAGATCCGGAGGCGGGACTGCTGCGCTGGGATCTGCCATTGCCCTTATCACTGCGTCTGTCGGTATAGCCTGGAAGCTGAGCAGAATGTTGGCACCAGTCTTGAGCGTGTAAAGCTCGGCCAAGTCTTTAGCTAGTTTGTCGCAATCTCCTGACGAGATAACAGGGGTGAACAGCTATCAAGCTGTTAGCACAGATAGTAAGATGTTCGAGAAATTGCCTTAGCTAAAGCGTAGCAAGGGGAATACATCTTCTTGTTTGCGCGCTCGTCTCGTGATGATCTGATTGCAAGGAGAATACATACTAGTAAGAAGTTAGCAAAATACCTTAAGAGCTGTTCGTGGCGGCTAGTTTACCCTCGATACTCCGGATCAGCTTCTGCGTATCGAGGCCGAAGCCATGAAAATCGGTTTCAAGGAACGAATTCACGTGGTGGGCCTGCATGAAGCGAAACGTGGACAGTCTGTACCATGCAAGAGCTAGCTCCAACATCGTGTCCTTGAGTATTGCCCTCGCTTCGAGTAAGTGGCCGTAGCCATTGCGTATGAGTGACGTCTGGAAGTGCTTGGAACGACTTGCGCTCGTGTGACCGGGGATGGCGAATGCTGGCGAAGCAGACGCCATTAGGTCATGATGATTGATACTGATCGCCATCTGGTCGTCGATGATGTAGCTGTATACCTCATCGCGAAGCTCTCGGGCGAACTTCGTCTCTAGCAGTTCTAGAACGACTCGCTGACGGTAGGCGGTGAAATCCTCCAAGTACTGCTGGAGAACGTTCTCGAGCTGGTCTAGTTTTGCTGTGATTTTGGCCAGCTTCTGCTTGAGATTTTGGAATCGTTGTCGGGTCTTCAACGTGAGATTACTACGCCTTTGATGAGGCCTTGTGCGATTGAGCTTAGCTCGGTCGGGTACTTCGATGTGTTTCAGAATCTGAATGTGCCTGAGGGTACTGAAGTTATCAGCAGCTGCTAGATTCGTAGACCTCGGACGGAACTTACTGGGAAACGTATTCATGGTCGAGAAAGAATCCTACAGCGGGCGGAGTGCGCACCTCCATGGCGATGGCTGGATAACAAGTGAGTAGAGAAGGTGGTTGAAGCAATGTCGGGGCGGGTAGTTGAGACTGTAGGGACCGAGGGGTGGGTGCTTTTCTCAACGCGGCGTTGCGATCAGTCATCTAAAGTGCACGTGAAGGGAAAGAAGACACGGGCCAGAGACTCAACCTACGGAGTGAAATATGTGGATTACAGGTCAGTCACGCCAACCTAGAAAAAGCCTGAACAGCCTGGAGCCGACGTTGCCGTTAAGCTACCTACTTTGCAGGATTTTGTCTTAATGTAGCCCGCAGACCAGTTTAACGTTTGTTCGTGTATGAGGTGGGTGTGCGCGTGGACACACTGATCTTTCAGCTATCACGCGAGAGGCGTATAGAGTCTAAAGAATGAACTTCTTCAAAAGATTGGCCAGCTTCTCAGGCTGCTCAAGTGCCAAGCTATGCCCACATTCCTCGAAAACCTCAGAAATATGCACCTTCTCCGCCGCAGACTCCATTTGCTCCTTGACCAGCGGGCCGAAGAACCTGAACTAGTCAGCATCAATCCGCATCAACACATCTTCTCGTCGTAAAACTTACTCCGGCGCCCCCACAGTCATAACACAACACCTCAGCTTCTCCCCAGTCAAAATCTCCTCCTCAACATCGACATTAACCCAATGCGCCCTATAACTCTCCAACACACCCCTCAACCCACCCGGCGCCTTCAAACACCTGACCCACTCATTCACAGCCACCTGATCCAGCGCACTAGGATTATAACACTCAGCCTTCATGAAATGCGTCCAAAACTCTTCTTCCTTCCCCTGAATCAACATCTCGGGTACATGCGGCAGCCAAAAGAAAGGGATATGCCAGTTCCACACACCGGCCTGGTTATACTGCGCCGCGATGTTTTTGCGCGTGAAGAAAGTTTGTTTGGTAAGGGCGTAGGAAAGCAGCATTTCGCAGAAGGAGAGGTGGGTTACGCGTTCGGGATACAGGCCCGCGAGGCAGAATGCATATGTTGCGCCGCGGTCTTCGCCGTGGACGGCGAATTTCTCGTACCCGAGTTGGGTCATGAGTTCGGCCATGTCTTTGGCGTTGGTGCGCCCATCGTAGCCTTCGCTTGCGGGGGGCTTGTCGGTTGCGCCGAAACCGCGGAGGTCGGGCGCGATGATGGTGAACTTTTTGGTTAGGAGGGGGACGATGCGGTACCAGTAGTAGTGTGTTTTGGGTGTGCCGTGGAGGAGGAGTAAGGGTGGGCCGGATCCGGATTTGATGTAGTGCAGGCGGATGCCGTTTACACGTGCCATGTGGTGGTGGACGGGCTTGCCATCGTGGTCGTGTATTTCGGGCATTGCAAGAAGGTTGCAGTTATTCTGGGTACGATCCTATCGGGCCTGTTGGTCTTGTACCACGTTGGGTTGTTCCAGCAGTATGGTGGTGGTTCTACCCCACATCCAACGTCATGGTTCACCGATGTGTGAGCGGAGCCAATTCCGCCCTAGAAACAAAAGCAAATCCACTGGCATTCCACCTGCACAGATTTGCATCGTACGATCATTTGGATGTAAGACTTCGAGAGGTATGAATACCGCCATATTGAACAGTCACATCCGGTTCTCACACGGAAGGTCAATGAAGATTGACTCGTATCGATTAGGAAGATTTCGCATTGTCAGTACAGCTTTGAGTACTGTCTTCTAGTTTCTATCTCTTTTTGACAACTGTTCCGCCTCATGAGTCCGGAATGGCAGCAATGGCCTCAACTTCGATCAAGAAGTTACCCGGTAGCTTGCCAACCTCAACAGCAGTGCGGGCTGGCTTGGGAGTGGGCAGCATAGCAGCATACACCTCGTTCATCGCGCTGTAATCCGACATGTTGGCAAGGAAGACGGTGGTCTTCATAACGTAGTCCCATGACGTGCCGGCTTCTTCGAGGATGACTGCAATGTTCTTGATGACTTGGGCCTGTATTGCGTAAGTATGAGTCCAGGATGAAGCTTTATTTGGCTTATGTACCGTTTGGGCTTCAATGCCACCTGCTACAATCGATCCATTGAACGAAGGTACTGTTCCTGAGGTGTAGACTATGCCCTTTGATGTCCATGCGCCGCTCGCTTGACAGTCATTAGCACGTAGTCATCAGACATCGGCTGGTAGCATACAGAGAATGGGACCTTGGGTACCAAGATAGGTCACAACCGGTTGCTCAGCGAGCTTTGGTGTTGGCTTGGCAACTACGGCACCAGTAACGGCGAGGAAAGTAGTGACAATGGAGGTGAAAGAGACCATGGTGAATGAATTACAGCGATTGAGTTCTGCGAGGTTATGAACGTAGATACTCGAGTATGATGATATGAGTATTCCGATATCGTTGGCCCTATACAGTCTTATAAGAGTTGGCAATGCTCGCGGATCATCATCTCCCGACTCTTTCGTGTTCGGTCAAGTTTGACCGCCCGCGTTGTACCGAATGCCATGGCTTCCAAGAGCTGCGAGTGTCCATGTACCAGGTAAAGCTCGTTGCCAATGCTCCTCCGACATGCAGCCAGTATTGTTGGATTCCAGCCACGGCTGAGGATCCGCGATACAGTCAGACCCGTTTGTAATGGTTAACGGTCCGCCGCCGGCTCCAAGGTACCGGAATGTCCACCAGGAACTGTACTACCTGCGCTACACTCAGCTCGGCAGGGCCTCGCGCAACCGTTTCGGCGCCATCGTGGGGTTCAAAATCGCGTAGATATCCAGCACGCACTAGAAAAGGAAGGAGGATAGCACTTGTGGCGAGGTGGAGCAGAGGTCAGCTAAGCTATCGCGAGAAGGGCCGTCGAAGATGTAGTTCGCCTGGGCGCCGAGATATCTCTGCATTTGTATCCTGCGTTTAACGCGCATTGTGAAGCGCGCATTCGTCCTGACGTAACGTGAGATAAAGGCTGCAGGGTGTTGAGATAAGAGTCGGGGTTTAGGCCAGCCGTTGCGCGTTATCGCAATCGTGGCTCCACCTGGGGTATCCATGGCTTGCCGCTCATTTGCCGACAGGATCCAGACCCCTGTCGGAATTATTGCTACCGTGAAGGGACAAGCTTTCCCTGCGGAGTTTTGACATTGTTCCCGGACGAAGTTCTATGCCACGTTTTTGGCATATTCTGTGTCCGACTCATGCTGGTAGCTCAGCCCCACATGGACGCGTTCAGTGCGTTGAAGGGTCGCGCTGGACGAACATGCACATCATCGCACGCACCTCGCTTCTGTGTCACCTTCGCAACAACGCAGTCGATAGGGTGTGTAGCCTTCATCTTGAGGTATGTTCTGTGAGAATAGTGTCCCTCGTTCTTGTTCGAACGTACTGGCGGTCCATGATATCTGGCGTCGAGGAGGACCGCATTGGATGGTTCAAGGTAGCATCGTGAAGTTGCATACGCAGCGCTGGTATCAGAGCCGAGATCGCTCGGAATGACGGTCGTGGCTAAACCGAGACTCCTGTCTTATCCGATGTGGGTTATCTTTTCGTTGGTAGGAACCTCAGTCCACAATGCCATCTCTTCCGTAAGCTGAGTCTCCACACTATCACCCGTACTGCATAGCGCTACTGCACCTCGCTTCGAGGGTATACTGCGGGTCAACTGTAACAGGCATTTGGGCGTGTCGCGTACCCCATCTTACTTACGAAAAGTCTTGTAGAAGTCGCGCATGGCGACGCCCTGTGGTCCTTATCGCGGCCGAATGCATAGCATTTTTTGTTAGGCCAACGGCAAACGGTCCGTCGCAACGACAACTTCCGATGATCATAGCCACGCCCTACGACGATAAGGCTTGGTGACCAACGAGAATGCGAAAGAAGGTGTAAGCTTGTGCAGTACTGCCCGCTGTTGTCGTGCATGTAGATCTGTATATGAGCAGGGCATCTTTCCTTTCATCTCACACTCCTCATCATATCCATCTCTTCTTTACACAACGATGAAGGGTCTTTTCACAGCCTCTTCGGCTGCCCTGTCTTTGGCTGGTGGTGCTATTGCCAGCCCAGTTGCTCCTCGTTCGGAAGTTGTCTTCTTCAAGCCCCTGGCTGTCACGTCCAACTCGGTACACAACGTCCATGTCGGCTACGGAGACGATGACTTCGAGGGCGAAATTCGTCTCGTGTATGGCGAATGCGGCATGAAGAGCCATGCCGACGGTCACCACGATGTGGCATCCCACTACATCAAGCGTTCAAGTCGTCCCGAGCGGTTCGTCTGGATCGTGCCGGATGATGCTGTCCACGGCGGATGCCTTCACGCCTTCTCAGGCTCCAACTTGATTGGCCGCTCAGCGCCCATCTCGATCCAACATCCACCAAGGAAACGAGAGGAGATCTCCGACGTGGCTGACGCCATGGGTCCTTGGTTCGACGGTGTGGCCTACATGGAGGCGAAGCAAAACAACGCATCATATGCCGCAGTCGAGAAGAGCAAGAAGATCGCCATTGTTGGAGGAGGTATGTCGGGGTTGATGACAAGTCTTCTCCTCGACTCCGTAGGCATCCACGATTGGCACATCCATGAGTCCTCGCAGCGTATCGGTGGCCGTATCCGGACTAAATACCTGGCAGGCAGCACACCCGAGCAATACCAGTACCAGGAGATGGGGCCCATGCGATTCCCTGTCTCCATCACCTACCCGGATCAGAACGAAACACTGGAAATCAATGATCACAAGATGGTTTTCCAGCTCGGAGACGTCCTGAACCAGATGAACGGAGGCAACACCAGCGATCTTGCCGTCAACTTCATCAACTGGATCCAATCAAGCCCAAACCTGCCCGCTAACTCAAATGGGTACCGTCTGCCAAACGGCCGTATTCCTAGCGCAGCGCAGATCAAGAGCAACGCAACAGCCTACACATTGCCAGCAGCTGAGGGCCCAGATGAGGAGGCCGTGGAGAAGGCGGAGGAGGCATACGAAGAATTCGTTGGATACACACCGGAGGTTGAGCGTGAGATCGCCACAAATGTCTTCAAGGCCCATAAGAATGCCGTCGA